GAGCATTCTAGGCCAAGGGTACAGCTGGTGCAAAGGCCCTGAGGTGGGAATGAGCTCAGGGAGCAGAAAGAAGGCCACGTGGCTGATGGGCTGGGGGTGGGGAGAGGGCAGTGAACTAGTTCAGGCGGGGCCTTTGTAGGCCGTGCTGAGGAGACTGAATTCTAACTGAAGGGCAGAGGGAGCTGTTGGACGGTTGTGAGTGAGGGTGTGATGTGATATAATTTGTTTTCACAACTCGCTCTAGCTTCCATAGGGAGAAGGGGCGGGGGGCAGGGTTGTCTCAGGAGCAGCTGAGACCCAGAAAGTGTCCGGCTTGACATTTAGGCCTGGCCCAGCCAGAGTTCCTCTGTCATCATGGGTCCCATCTTGGTTGGTGCTGAAAAAAGTGGCTGTTGAGCCCAAGGTCATCCCAAAGGCAGCTGTTAGCGGGAGCCCCTGCTTAGAGCAGGGCTTGTTTCCGGCTGAGAAGAGGCAGGGGGTCCAGCTAGTGCCAGCCTGTCATTTGCAGGCATTCTCCTTGGGATGTGTGACCTGTGACATAGCTGTGCCCGCCTCTCCCCTCTTCCAGCAGGACTGCAGCTGGGCAGGGTCACTGCTTTGGGTGGACTTCTAATTGAAGACTTGAGCCCTTGATCCTTTGGGAGAGTCTGACAGGGGGCCTGGGAACTGGGGCTCGTCCTGTACCTCCAGCCCAGCCAGGTGCAGAGTGGGACCACTCTTTTTTTCGGTCGGGGGGTCGGGGGGATGGTGAGGCTACTCCTGAGTTCTAGAAGCCGCCACTCACTGTGTGATGGACCATAGCGGCCTTTCTCCCTGACCTCTGTGGTGTGCTTGTTCTTCCTTGGATCTCAGCTCTCCCCGCACTCATGACCTTAAGTTCTCCCCCAGGCCCTGGGGAAGGAGAGCAGAGGTGATGCCCCCATTCTGCAGATGGGTCCCCCAAAAGGAACGACGAGTCCCAGGGCACATATTGTTCCGCGTGAGGACCTGGGGCAGTGTCACTCCTCTGCCCTGAAGCCCCCCTGTCTGTGCCCTCCCTTGGGTTCATTAAGAGAGGGAGGGCCTGGCTCTGTTATTTCTGGGCTCAGTCGGCCCTCAGCCCAGGCAGGGACGCTGGGCCCCCCGCCCAGAACGGAGCTCAATGCTTCCCCTTGTCTGCTCACCCCCAGAAGCCGAGGACCGGCCCAGTGCCCGGTGCTGGCAGAGCCTCCATCCTGCTCCCAGCTGCAGGAGGACATGGCGGGGCAGGTAAGATTAGAACCAGCCTGAGGCAGCTGCTGGAAGTTGGGGGCCTCCCAAGAGGTCCTTGCTTTCAGATCTCAGGCTTCCCTGGGAGCTCAGGGAGAGCCCTGACCAAAGGGAAGGCACCCGCCCTGCCAGACTCAGCCTCCGTGCGTGGGTGTGGGAGCTTGAGGCACCCCGATGGGAGGGGGTGAAGCACTGTGCCCCAGATCCAATGCTCACCCGGGCCCCGCTCTCCCTCCTCTCTCCTTTCTCAGTGCCCCCCCGCCCCCCGGGAGTCTAGCTGAGGAGATGACCTGTTCTCTCCCTCTTCTGAGCACACAGCCCATGGGAACAGAGTGAAACAGCAACTGAAGCAGCAGGGATGTAGGGCAAACCAGAAAGAATCCCTCACTCAGGGCCCAGCCCTCTGGGGTCCCCGGGGTCCAGATATCCTAGAGCCTGGTGCTTCAGACTTAAAAAAAAAATCTGATACTTTTTTAAAAAAGTAAAATCTATTCTCACACAAACTTCAAAACTCTAGGGGGCTAGCACTCAGGGGGGTGGGTGGGCTGGGGCCCCAAACCCCTATCATGCCCCCTTTTCTTTCACTTCATGTTTGACAACCAAGGTCAAATGAATCTTAAACAAATTTATTTATTTATTTATTTATTCTAAAGAGAGAGAGAGAGGGAGAGGGGGAGAGAAACCTGGATGTGAGAGTGATTCACTGATTGCCTGCCTCCTGCACACACACCCCTTACTGAGGGTCAAGCCCGTAACCTGGGCATGTGCCCTGACCAGGAATTGAACCGGAGACCATTCTGTGTACCGGATGACGCCCCACCAACTTAGCCACACTGCCAGGGCGAAATGACTCGTCAGTGGTCCTGTGGTGTCAGAGATCCCCCAGGGGCCCAGAAGCCCCCAGAGAAGTAGCTCACTCTCCTCTCCAGGCTCCTGTTCTCTACGTGGGAAGTTCCTCCCACTATACCAGTTCCCTGTAGATTCTGGTTCAGGAGGTCTGGGGGGAGGGCCTCATAATATGTCATTTAAGTCCCTCAGGTGACACTTAGGACCAGACAAGCTCAGGCAGCATGGGTCTCACTTAAATCTCTGTGGCTGTACCTGCAGGTTTCTCTGCTGCAGCCCAGGAGGCTGGCCAGCCCCTCTCCTCCCCCAGCCTCTCCTGAGCCCCCCCGAGCCCCTTCTCCCGGGGAGCAGGGAGTGCTGGGGGATGCCGAGGCCTGAAGAAGAGAGGCAGGAAGTTGTTTGGAGAGGGTGCTGTGTCCCTGGTGGCAGAGATCATGGGGGGGAAGGGGTGGGGATGGTGGAAAAAGTAGCCTAGACTGAGTGTGGCTGGGCCAGAGAGAGATGAGGGGAGAGTCAGAACACAGCCAATCACATCTGGGCAGGAAGCCTCTGGGAAATGTGGGCTGGTTCTGATCCATTTTTGAAGGGGGCAGTGGAAATGGCAGGTAAAACGGGTCTCCTCATTTTAAAGAGGAGTAACAGGCCCAGAGCAGGGCAGAGGGGAGTGGGTCTGGCCTGGGTGGGGCAGTGAGGAGTCCAGGCCTGGACCCGTGAGAGGTCACAGTGAGTTGGGCAGAGCAGGACTTTCCCCTTGCAGCCTCCTCACGAGTTCCTCCTCCTGGCTGGTGAACTCTGCAGGCCCAGGTGTGGAGGGGAACCCCAGGCCCCCCATTCTTCCCACAGCCAGAGCTTTGGGCACTGCAGCAAAGGCAGCTCGCTCTCAGGGAGGCTCTGAGGTGGCCCTGCACCTGCCCAGCACCCTGGACAGCGCCTCACGCTGGGCCTGGATGGCTCACTTTGGCTTCTGAGGTGGCTTCTGTTGTGATAAAGCTGCACTTCTGTCGACTTCCCTGCCTCCTCTCCTAACTCCCCCTCTAAAGGCAGCCCCCTTCCCAGCTCCTTCCATTCACCACAGAGTCACTGTTGTCTGGCTCCCAGAGCCAGGGTGCGAGAACATGCAAAGAGGCAAGGAGGCTGGTTGCTGTCAGCCTGGGGTTTTGTCTCCACACTCACTCACGGGAGAGGAAGGGCGCTTGGAGGAGTCCTGAACCCCCTCAACCTGTCTTCCTCAAGGGGCTTTGGTGAATTCTGAGGGCACAACAGGGAAGGAAGGATTGGGGCACATAGACTGGTAGGGGGTCGGGGGAGAGGAGAGTGGGGCTGGTTTGAACAGGGCATTGAAGACACCACAGCCTGGACCCAGACACTCGTTCGGAGATCCTGAGAAGGTCACCTCGGCCATCATTCTGCCCCAAGCAGGCTGCTTGGTGCTGATTCCGCTGGACTTTAGACCCCCAGCTCCTGCCTTGTCTGACCCACCCCTTCATCTCCATCTGCCGGCAGAGCTAACGGAGTCCCAGGAGCAGCCGCTCAGGGTAGAGCAGTGCCTGCCATGGATGAGGATGAGCTCCCGTCTGTACTGCCTGGGGAAGATGGTGCCACCCGGGACCCCAGCCTGGAGCCTGCGGAGGAGCCCCCAGTCCAGAATGGAATGGCGGCCAGCGAGGACCTGAATAGTAGCCACAACAGCCCAGGACGTGATATGAGGGGCACCCTGGTGGACACCGAGGAGCCCACAAAGGGCCCGGACATGGCTCTCCATGGCCTTAGCCTTGGCCTTTCCCTCACTAACGGTCTAGTCCTGGGGCCAGACTCGAACATTCTTGATGATTCTACGGGGTCCAGTCCCTGGAGGGCGGGTGGGCTAGCAGAAGGAGAAGATGCCTCTCGGAGCTTTTGTCCAGACACTGAGGACCTTCAATCAGGGTAAGTCGATGTCTTAGAATAGGGGCTCACCACATTTGGCTGCTCCATGCTATTGGTCTGGGACTAGCTACTTAGCCTATCTGGTTCTTGTTTTTCTCATCCATGAAATGGGAATGTCATGTCTCAATTTTGTTCAGCTTCTGGTTATTTGGAGAAAATAGAGCCATGAGATTTCGAAGGCCTTCAGGCCCATCATCAGTCCCCCAAGCTATCACGGGCTATTTCTAGGAGGGGCTGGAGGGCCATACTCCCTCCATCCCAGGTTGGACAGTAGAGTTTGTTCCAAAATGTCTTGATGTGGAAGGTCATCTGGTCCATCCCTACACTTTCTGGAGTTGAGGATCTGGAGTTGCAACTGACCTCAAGAGAGTAGGCTTTGTGGGTTAATCCCTCTCAGCTACCCCTGACCCAAGAGCCATCTGGAATCTTACTTCAGTCTTACTTATTGGAGTTACAGCACCACTTTATTGTATTAAAGTATGTTAGAAGGAAGTAAGTGTTTTGGGGGAAAAATGAAGGGTGTTTGGGGCAGGTCCCAGTTATAAATGGTGGTCAGGGCAGACCTGGTTGAGAAAGGAAGGAGGAAGGAGGCTTTGGCCTGAGGAAGGAGCAGTCTGGGCAGTGGGAGCAGCCAGCACGAAGGCTTCCTCTGGGGCCGCACAGGACCCTACGAAGGCTTAGGCAGGTGGTGGGTCATGGGCTACAAGCATCTGTTCATTCACCCAGTGTGTCATGCAGTAAGGTTTGCTGAGTGCCTACTGTGTGCTTGGTGCTTCTGGCCTTGTGTGTAGGGAGTTGGGTGGGGCTGGGGCACAGATGGTAAACAGGGGAGCAACCAGAATACTACGTCCTGACAGAAGCTGGGGGAGGGGGCATGAAGAGCTCCCCTGAGGATGGAGAATAATGGGAGGGAGGCTGGCGTAGTTGGTGATGTGGACCCGCCTCCCTCAGCCTCTCTGAGGAGGTGGCATTAAGCAAAGCCCGAGAGCTGGAATGTGGTCAACCAAGTTAAGAGCCTTCCAGCTAGCAGGACAGCAACATTATGAACCACTGTGACTCTCGCTGTGATAGGAGAGCAGCCCTGTGGGCCAGGCTGGAGGAAGAGGACTCACAGTCATTTACTGATGCCTGCGATGGGCCAGGCATGGGTTGGGCACTGGGGGTTGGGCCATGCCTGTCCTTTTCACTGCTCTACCCCAGTAACCAGCCAGCATCTGGCAGTATCAGCTGAGAAAATAAACAGGACACAATCCATGCCCACCCCCCACCTGCAGGGAGCTCCCAGGCACAGATGGGTGTAGTCCCAGTACCTGTAATGGGGCACCGTGGCAGGATGCTGACCGGTCCTTGCATCCCACAGGCTGGGTGACCCTGGAGAGCCAGATGTCCGGGACGGCTTCAGTGCCACGTTTGAGAAGATTGTGGAGTCGGAACTGCTATGGGGCACCCAATACAGCAGTCTCGACTCCCTAGACGTGCTGAGCCTCACGGACGAGAGCGACAGCTGTGTCAGCTTTGAGGCTCCCCTTACGCCCCTCATCCAGCAGCGGGCCCGTGACAGCCCTGAGCCAGGGGGTTCTGTGGGCCTTGGGGACATGGGGCCCGCAGGGGACATGGGAGCAGCCGGCGGTGATGGGGAGCTGGGCAGCCCCCTGCGGCGATCCATCTCCAGCAGCCGCTCAGAGAATGTCCTGAGCTGCCTGTCTGCCGTGCCCAATGGCTTCCATGAAGATGGACTCCAGGGCCCAGGCGGGGATGAGGAGGAGGAAGAGGAGGAGGACACGGACAAGCTGCTGAACTCGGCCAGGTGAGGCAGGGTCCAGACTGGGAGCAGATGGGGAAGCAGACCCAGAGGGGGTAAAGCAAGTGAGGGCAACTCAGTGCCCAGAGTGAACAGCCCTCACCAAGGTCATCGTGTCCTTCCTCTGCACCCCGACTTCCCACCCCAGTCCTGTGGCTCCACTCTGCCCTTCCAGGCCTGTCTGCCCGGTGGGGCCAGGGAGCTATGCTGTGGTTTGTGGAGCATCTGATATCACCGGGGGGCTCTCCCAGGAGTCTGACATGATCCCTCCTGGTGCAGGGGAGCTTGCCCAACTCTGGCCCCTGTGGAGGCTATTCAGAGGCCTGGGACACCTTCTAGGCTTCCCCAGGACTCCTGACGCAGGGCCTCTGAGCCGCTCCTCTTCTCCCCACCTCCCCTCTGCAGTGACCCCAGCCTCAAGGATGGCCTGTCCGACTCGGACTCAGAGCTGAGCAGCTCGGAGGGGCTGGAGCCTGGCAGCACCGATGCGCTGGCCAACGGGTGCCAGGGGGTGAGCGAAGCTGCTCGGCGGCTGGCTCGCCGCCTCTACCACCTCGAGGGCTTCCAGCGCTGTGACGTCGCCCGGCAGCTGGGCAAGAAGTGAGTTTTGTCTCCCACTCCAGGCACACCCGGTGTCTTCCCCAGCCCGAAAGGGATGTCGGTGACTTCTGTTAGGGGTGCCTGGTGCTTGGGTGGCTCCAACAGTCCCACAGCCCTCCTCCTGCCACTGTCCTCATTTCTGGACTTGCCCTACATCTGTTTCCTTTCTGGGCTGCCTAGGTGACGGCCCACACTCCCAGGGAGGGGAGATGGAGGCAGAGCAGCCCCTCGGGGCCAGGGGAGTGGGATGTGTCCTGTGGTTATGGGGCCACCATGGATGGTAGTGAGGACAGAGCAGCTGGGTGAGGGCGAGTGGCCCACCTAAGGGGGCAGGGAGAGGAGGCTCTGGGCCGGGGAGGGTTTCTGGTCCTCATGAAGCGCCACTCACTGTATTGGAACTGGCTCAACGGGCAGAAGCCACTAAGCCACGCCCTGGCCTGGGGCCTGGGGAAAAGGAACTGGGCACGTGAGAGTCCTAAAGGGGTTGGGGGACAGGCGGGGTCTGTGAGGCTGAGCACATTGCCTGCACGTCTTGAGCACGTCTGACCGTCACACGCCCTCCTGCCTTTCCCCCTCCTCTGGGGTCCTCCCAGCACCTCATCCAGGCCCCGAGGGAGCAGAAGCAGGCCTGGCTCACGAGGCTGACGGGGACAGTTCAGACCCCAGACCCCCACGTGTGAACTAACTGGGGCTCAGGCCACAGGGAGGCGCTCAGGTTGGTTCGGCTCCCGGATCCTTCTCTTCTCCCTCCATCCAGCTTCTTCCACCTTCCACAGCCTCCACATGGCTCCTGCCCTTGTCCTCCAGCCCCAGCTCAGAAATCACAGCTACTAGCCCCACTCCTGCTGATTGTTCAACTCAGGACACAGACAAGGTCTACACATTACATTTGGCCAATATGTCTCTTAAGTCTCCTTTAGTCAACAACAGTCGGACAGTCCCCTCCTGTTTTTTTAAAGCCACAAGTTTGTTGAAGAAACGGAGCCATTTACTAGCTATGGGCTGAGGACTCTCACGTGATAGATCCTGCCCCACCTGTTCCGAGCACTGGGTGTCTCCCCCAGGGGCCACCTCCCCTGTCATGCCCCACACCTGTTTCATTCCCATATCCTGTGGATTCTGCCTCCAAAATCTCTCTCCTTCCCCCGTCTTCCTTCTCCCTCCTGGGTAGTTACTGCGGCCCCACAGGGGGTCTGCATTCTGCAGGAAGAGTGTTCCAATAGAGATCTGACCATTTCACTCCTTCCCCTCCCCGCGTCAGCCCTCAGAATCAAGTCCGGATCCTTCCCTTGGCCCTCGGGCCTTCCCTGCCTCAAATCCTGCTGCCCTGTGCCTGCTTTCTGGCTCTGGCCACGTGGCCCTGCTGGTAGCTTCTTGGACGTGCCGTGCAGCCTATAGGAACACCCTGCAGCCCATCCCCTACTCCCCCACCTGGCTGGCTCTTCCTGTAGGTGTTGCCCAAGACATCATCTCCCCTAGGAAGCCTTCCTGACCCCCAGCCCAGGCGAACTGTCAGAGCCCAACTGGCCAGCAGGGAAGACAGCCTTGGGGTGGGCAGGTCTGAGTGGGTGGGTCAGGGTATTGCCCATGTACCCCCATTG